ACTCTGCGTCTCACGTCTCGGAGTTTGTCAGTGTTGAAGCCTTTGACCTCATAAAGTCTTTTAAGCAACTTGTTGTTGGACAAGTGGCTGAGCTCCTCTGACAAATAGCGGATGAGTAGGTGAAGATCTCATCATTGGCACTGCGAACTCCTTTGATTTGGGACTAGCTGCGGTGTTCTGATCCTGGCCAGCGAATCGCACAAGTGTCCTAAGACCTTGGTCTGTGCTTCAAGAAGTACAGGCGGACGGTAGAACTCGAGAGAAAGAAAAACTGGTCAGAACTTCTGAAGGTGGCGCTGAAGAACGAAGCAAGATGAACCGATTGTCCACCTAGCGCAGCGTAGAAATGGTTTGATGCCAGAAAAAGTCCTCAACCGTGGCGACAAGGTTGCAAAGAGGAGGAGCTGCGGGTGATCCCTGCCGAAACAGGTGACAAAGTTTAGGAGAAGTGACAAGTCCTCGGCATGAAACACGCGCGGAATCTTTGTCATGCGGTATCACTTCCTTTTGAAGATGCGTCTGCGGTGATCCGGCTTGATCTCATAGACTGACCAATGAGATACGTTTCCCACTTTGAGATCATATTGATGCAGTAGAACTTGCAGGGCTTGATGACACCGCTCAGTGGGAATAGAAGAAGGAACCTGAAAGGTCTTGAGACACGAGTTGTATGTACTCTGTGGGATCTGCAGCGGATAGGCAGTCCCACAATTGTTGCACAAGCTCCTGAACAGGTGGCTGGCCTGGAATGTGTGGCAAAGTGATCTTGGCGAGCTCGAAAATCAATGCGCTGAAGACTGTGAGAAGAGGAGCTGCCCATGTGCGAAAGAGCCTGCCTTTAAGCCAGTCCTTGGAGGGCTTGGGCAGGATGCGCGCTGTAGGTAGTGGAGCCTGAAGACGAAATCCCCATGCGTGTCGATGTTGAAGGTGAGGATGCACCGTCGTGACCACGGCGCGGAAAGACGCTGCGGGTTGAGTGCACAGTGCAAAGACCTCACCCGTGCAGAACGTCTTGTGAAGCAGGGTTCAAAATAATAATGGGCAAATCACCATCCGCAGTCCGGAATTCGTCATATACTGAACATTGTGACGGTGTTCTTCCAACAACTCGGGCACGATTGGTTGAGCATCAGCCTCAAGGTTGGAGAGTCCGTAGGTTCCATCTGCAGGCGAGCTTGCAAATTTGCAAACATAATCTAGATTAGAGTTTTTCAGCATCGCCGTAGTACTGATCCTTCATGATGTCACGGTCACGTCAAAGCATGAGCGCAAAAAGGAAGTATCTGGAGTCCATTGCTGCCGCCTGCGGTAGTTGAACAACCGGTCTCCCAGGGTGGCACTGCGAGTCTCGATTGGGTAGGAAACAATCTTCAAGCCACAGGACGAGTGTTGAGAGTGAGCTTCCTGTTGTGAAGCACTTGGGGTAGAAGCTTCTTGGCCGAAGAGGTTCATTGACGAATTCAACCAAGTCATAGACCTGGGTTGAAGGAAAGGCAGCTGACAGTAAATCTCGCATGGTCTGAAAGGAGGCACCGGTGTTGGACCCAAGTTGGTACAATAGAGAATAGTGCGCCTGAATATCATCCAGTGCTTGTGGGCGTACCTGTCGATGTAGATTAGGATGCAATCGGCGCCGGAAACATTTGTGTAGCGTGATCGAAGTGGGCAGTGACATGGAATGTCGTCGAAAGTCAACAAGGCGTTCACGAAAAAGTATTCTGTGTACCCAGAAAAACGCTGAGATGTGGTCGTAGAGAGTGTACTGCCATTTGCTCTCTCGAGCCCACACGGAAAAAGAGTGTGAGCCGTTTTTCACTGTAGTGGCTTAGTTTGCAGAGCCACGGTCAATGTGAAACTTCACGAAGTGAATTTTCACAGGTGGGGCGCTGACCATTTTTATTCAGAGCCCTCCTGCGCGACACGCAGCCAGCGAACCGCCGTTGAAGAGCTCCGCACGCCTGGGCCGGATCATCATCTCCGTAACCGCCCCCTCGCGCTGCGCTTTCCAGCAACTGCCTCGACTCTGAGGGATGCCTTCTTTGCGTGTTGGTAGTCATGTGGCCCTGTCTAGGCTGCTTTCTCGCGCATGGATGCACAAGTCAGCCACTGCCCGGAAGAGTTGTTGACGGGGCCCTTGACCCAGCCTCGTTTTGCATGAAAGACATTTTGAAGTTTGGGAAGAGCGTTGACCACGTCCGGCGGGCCATGTGCCCCAGGCTCCAAGCAGCCCCTCCACCTTGCTATGCAGGTGCAGAATTTTCAGCCGCAGACCTGAGTACATTCTTTGTGTCAGGGTGAGCTTGCACATGGGCTGTTACAGAAAACTTATGCGAAGAAGGTTACAGTGTTCAATAGAGGTTACAGTTACATTAGACAGGTCCTGAAGTTACAGTGTATGTATTTATGTACATATGCGTGTAACTCGCACACCGCTTACTTACATATGTATTATGTGTTATCTGCAAAAAATGCACGCATGCATCTATACATGACGGTTGTCTGAAATTCCTTGCGCCGGAAACCGCAATCTTCGCGGAAAAAAAGGCTGTTTTCGCACCATGCATAACAAAGGTAGTACACGAACTAAGCTTTCCGCAGCCCCGGCTCGAAAGCCGCAACTTTTCAACGCGAAAGTAGTATGCGCAGTGAACTTCCGCAGTCCCGCTCGAAAGTCACCACTTTTCAATACGAAAAGTAAACTTCCGCAGCCCCAGCTCGAAAGTCGCAACTTATCAATACCAAAGTAACACAGGAAGTAAACTTCCCCAGCCCTAGCTCGCAAGTCGCAACCTTTCAATACGAACTTAGTACACGAAGTAAACTTCCGCAGTCTCAGCTCGAAAGTCGCAACTTTTCAATACGAAAGCAATACACGAAGTAAAAGCCCAAGCTCACAAGCCGCACGGCAGCACGCAATGGAACCGTTGGCCACCCGTGTCCAGAAACTGGTGGGAGGTCCATCGAGTTTCGCGAAACTTTCGCGGATCTCTCTCCAAACATTAGCAAAAATCCGGCTGGAAAGTTGCACTCAACTGGACCCGACAGCTTCAACACTCCCACACGCTGATTTCTGCTGGGGGTTGCTTGTGCAGCGGCGTATTCTTCTGGCAACCCGCAGGCCTTTTCATTTTTATTTTTTATTTTTTTAAGTCTGTGGCGTTCTGCGTCAAATAGACACACGCTTCATCATTCCAGCTTCCAGTTGGCAAGGCACCCTAACACACATAACTTGTGCGAAAACAAAAAACCACATTAACTTTCGCGACCCCCTGCCACGCTAAGACCTAAAGGTCTTCTCTTTCATAGCTCAACACAAGAACCTTTCGGACGACTCTCACATATGCATATGCACACATTCAATTGATTTGTTCGTCTCTTCATTCTTTCCTCCATTCGATCACTCATTCATCAATTCATCATAAACCAAGAATACTGTCAGGCTTATTCATCGGATGTAGCTCGTTCCCTACCTCCTCCCCCGCTTCAACTGCGCGCCGAGCGACAAGGTGGGCTCGGCGGACTGAGTGAAGATCTCAGAGCAGGGCAGACTTTGGCCCCCTCTCGCGGAGGTGGGGCAGATCGGCCAGATAGGCTTGCGTTTTGGAGGGTACCCTTTTCAGGCTGGTTTAACAGGAAAGAGAGCGAACAACCATATTTTTTCGGGCGCCCCGATTTTGACAAAAACCCAAATAAGTTGTGCGTTTGCCAACAACTCCAAAGCATGGGAGATATCCTTTTTCTTTCTGCTTGCAGACCTGTCCACACAAAACAGATCCTTCCAAGATTAGAGGACCCCAGAAACTGGGTGTGCCCTTTTGGCTTCTCTGTGAAACAGTTGCTTATCCAAACGCGGGCCCCCAGTTTCAAGAGCACTAGTTCGGAACTCAACGCAGCGCCGCCTCAACTGCCAAGTACTTGCGCGACACTCAATACAAACCCTTGTTGATTGCAAAGGGAGAACCGTTTCTCACTTGCCCAGCTTCATCGTAATTCTACAGCCACAAGGAAAACGTGTACATCCAGAATCTGTCCTGGTGCCCGCACGCCTTGGCATCTCTCGCATTTCTCACAATGGCTGCGATATGTGCTGAGCCTTCCTACGCACGTGATGTATGCGGAAGACTTGCCCTCCTGCCACAACGGATGCCCACTCTGACAAATCCCAAGCTGAACTCATCCGGCCGAACGGCACACCGGGTCTCCCGCCAGAAACGAAAACCTCTCGATGCCACAGCAGCGCCGCAGTCGCGGCGGCCAAGAGGCGGCAGCGCATGGCGTCAGTCACAGCCGCGTCATCTACTCCGCGCAGCCCCTTGAGGTTTCCCACTTTGCTTCAAATGTCTGGGGAAGGAAAGTCCAGCGGACTATCTCATTATACACCGTGTTGGAGGGTAAAGTGAGCGCGCTCGCTGGTCTACAAGTAGCTTCTCATCCTCATGCTTTCGTCTCACGGTTGCCTTCCACGAAGGCTAAACAAAACCTGCCATCCAGCAGCCAGTCTCGAAACTGGCCATGCCTGAAATAGAGCTTCAACAAGCAAGCTCCCATTGCGGCGCAGCAAGCCAATGCAACATGCCTTGTCAGTCTAGCACACATGGGCAGCTGCCTTACCATTTTTGCTCGCTGCCACGCCAGGGGCTACAGAACGTGACACTTACATACAGTTCTGCTTCGATAATCACATAGTGTCACAAATCATCTTTACTTCAACCATTGCAGTCAGTTTGATGGCAGCTTAAGTACGCCGAACGTCGACGCCTCTGAGTTGTTTCTAAAGCAGCGCGATCACATCTTTTGCGGCATGCTCCAGGTGAAAGCACTCACATGGATGGTTCAAGTTGGTGCTACCTTGAGCCGCATTTTTGCGTGCTGGACGCATGGCTTCCCAGTGAAGCCCTACGAATTGGGCCCTCCGACCTTCGCATGGAAGCATACCGTAGCATACCAGCTTGGATTGACAGAGACATGCTATTTGGAACAGGCCCCCGTCAGCTTCAAAATACTTCTATGCTTTGTTGGAGGGGCGAGCTTGATGCTTGACGCAAGAATCGAAAACTGGCACCGCCAAGCGCAGCGCAAAAAGCGAAGGGTATGTAAGGATGTCTTTGCCTTACAAGACTAGTTTCCACCTTCGCCTACAGGCTCTCCTTGCAGGAGGGCTCGTCATATTGAGAAGCCAGACCTGCGGTAGTGGAAGCGAGGCATGCGTCAACGGTCATTTCCTTCTTGGCTCATACAAGCCTGGGCGAAATTTATCTGCAGCTAGTCTGGCTACCAGTGAAAGAGGCCCAGTTTTCCGCTTCAAGGGATCACCCCTCATGCTGTCACAAAGGAACCCATACATAAAACCTCATGAACAAGAAAGTGGCACGGCGTTGCAATGTCTAACTCTACAAAACAAACGCAACAGGCCTCAAGCGAAAAGGTTAAAACAATTGAAGCTCCTGAAACACAACTGACCGCATCCTGCCCAGGGCCGCGCCTGTGTGCCTTGCCATCGCGGCAAGGTGGGAGTTGACAGATGCCAGCAGCTCACGGGGAGGCCCAGTCTCCACTAGATGCCCTGCTGACATGACGAGGATACCTGAGCTTTGGCAGCTTGACTTTTGAACGATGCCAAGTCGCTTACCTGTGATGCTCTTGCAAGGGTGTCTGCTGAGCCAGATCTCTCACCCATTTCCTGCCAAGGCGCGATCGCAGTCGACAACCGTCTGCAATCTGTGAGCGACCTTGCATGTGAGCAACGTGCAAACTGCCAACTGTCGGAGCTGCGTGCGTCTCCTTCCCAAGACAATATGGGAGTTGTCGCTAAGGCAGGCGCCGTCATCTGCGTGGATTCTCCGAACGTGGTGGGGCAGCGCAGCAGCTGTTGGATTGTCTGGTCCTGGTTGGCGCTGACAAAGAACACGCTGCTCTCAGCTTTGCGCAAGCCATTGCTTGACTCCATGCAAGCCTTCACTGACTTCTGCTTGCGCTTGGATGCCTTGTCCAAATGCAGCTATCTTCTCACTGCGTGCTACAGGATCAATATGCTACATACAAATCTGGAGCTGTTTGTCTCCAGTGACAAATGCCAACATGAGCCACGCACTTCCTTCGTTTCAGCACGAAACTGCCTGACCAAAACCCGAGACACAAAACTGCGACTGCAATCAGGCCAGGCTCTGTGGCCGCGTCAATGTTCGAGGTCGGCTCATCGAAGATGCGAACCTGCCCGACGCAATGGCCAAACCGGGGTTGTGACAGCAACTTGCTCACCTACGAAATGCTGCCTGCGGGCACCCATGCGCGGGTGGGTGCGGGCAAGCGATCACGCCTGCTAAGTATCCAAGGGTTCTTCCAAATGGGCTGCGTGCCATGCCTTGGCTGAAAAGCACATCAGTTCTTTAACGACTGCCAGTCTCAACCAACAGAGCGCCAATCCGTTGACCGAGGCCTCTGAACCAGAGGCGTCTAGATTACTGGAGTGACGCGAAGCTTAGTGATGTAGTGACGCTGGCTTGCTGACTTGAACTTCTGGTTGGACACCGCCACCCTACCTGCCAACTTGAAAGCCATTCTCCCCCTCAATCTCTACGAGTGGACAGAATGTCAATTCCGGATGAACCAACCTGCACTAGGCAAAGTGAAGGTTTCTCAATACAACGGGAGCTCAATCAGGCTAGTCATCCTGAACCCCCTTCAGGTGTCCAAAACCCGCCTGCCTTGCACGGCCACAGCAAGCTCCGCCCAAGGGTCAGCAGCTGCCGTTGCCCGTGGCTCAGTGAGGACGCCTCGGGCATCGGACACAAAATTCAAAACGTTTGGCGAGCGAATATTTGCGGGCGTGTATCTCTCTCTCTCTCTCTCTGTCTCATTTCTCAGGCGCGGCAGGTCCCTGGGCCATCGAGATTATACGCCTATACTTTGAATTTTACGCCACTAAGATATAAATATTCTAAGCCGTTAGGAGCCTGAGACTTTAAGCCACACAGATTTAAGGTGTTGAGCCACTAAGATTTGATTACTAAGCCACTAAGATTCTGAGATGTGAAGAAACCCTAAAGGTAAGCGCCTCAAGGGGCTTGAGGGCCTTACCCTTAAGCTTCGGGGCCTCAAGGGGCTTGAGGGTAGGGCCAGCCTGGCGTGCGGGGCTTGAGGTTGGGGCGACTGACCTCACGGTGACTTGTCGGACTGAGCCAGAGGCTCCGAAGTATGTGTATGCTGTATGCCCATGCGCGCGTAAGCACGGATGGGACAGTCCCATTCCGTTGTGTTCTGGTGGCACCCGTCTTTTGTCGAGGTTAAGGCTGGCCGCGGCTTGAGGGCCCGGCCGCTGAGCTGTTGAGGCCCGGGTCCAGCCCCACCTGCGCGACAATCCGTCAATTTTGTTTTTTGCGACACCGGGCTTTCAGCTTCGGGAGCTTGTTTCCAGCAGGAAGGAGGGTGCATTGAGCTTCTGGGTAAGCCACTTGGATCTGCAGCTCCCAAGCGGTCTTTTCTCCCTGGATGCGCTCCAAG